GGGTGGATCCAGGTCATCTCCTGCAGCACTTCCAGGGGGAAAAGGGTCCTTTTGGGTCATTATTCACCACAGGGGTGGTTTGGGATGTGATCTCAAGGTTAAAGGAACCCTGAGAGAGGATTCAAGGAGGGAACTGGGCGGATCCAGGTCATCTCCAAAAGGGTCATTTTGGGTCATTATTTACCACAGGGGGGGTTTGGGATGTGATCTCAAGGCTAAAGGGGTCCAAGGCCTGGAGGGTCCGTGGGGCGCGCGCGGCCTCACCTGCAGCTTCCGCGCCATGGCCACGACCTCGTGGTCGGCGGGGTTGTACTTGTAGCAGTTGGAGAACATCAACCGCACGTCGGCCGCGAATTCCTGAGCATCCCGGTATTCCCGGTTCTCCAGCTTGGACTAGGGGGGAGAGGAGAGCAGAGAAAAAGCAAGACAAGCCTCTGCCGGAACGGTCAACGGGATGGATTTCATGGGGCTCTTTCAACTGGTTTTGGTCCAAAGAACCACCAAGTTCCATCAATTTTTCACCCCTGATTTTGATGCAGAAGAACCAAATTGCTTTGGTCCAAGAGAATCTAGTTTTGGTCAAAAGAACGGCGTGTTTTGGTCAAAAGAATGACATGTTTTGGTCAAAAGAGAGGCTTGTTTTGGTCAAAAAGGGCGACTTGTTTTGGTCAAAAGAGAGACTTGTTTTGGTCAAAAAGACAGACTAGTTTAGGTCAAAAGAGAGGCTTGTTTTGGTCAGAAAGACAGACTAATTAAGGTCAAAAGAGAGGCTTGTTTTGGTCAAAAAGAGTGACCAGTTCAGGTCAAAAGAAAGCCTTGTTTTAGTCAAAAAGACAGACTAGTTTAAGTCAAAAAAGAGGCTTGTTTTGGTCAAAAAGAGCAACTAGTTTAGGTCAAATAGAACTGCTGATTTTGGTCAAAAGAACCACCAATTTTGGTCAAAAGAACTGCTGATTTTGGTCAAAAGAACTACTTATTTTGGTCAAAAAAACGCCTTATTTTGGTCAAAAAGAAAGGTTGATTTTGGTCAAAAGAAGGATGTATTTTGTCAAAAGAGCAACTGGTTTCGGTTCTTCTCCCCGAGCTTAGGACAAGACCAACTTTTGAGAGAGAGCAGCCTTTGTTTTAAAAGGGATCAAAAATGGGCTTGGTTTCAATCAAACCCCCATTCCCAGGATTTCTGCCCTGGGGTCTCTCCTGGGCTAAAAAATGGGGAGATTTATACAATAACAGAGATTTTCCATAAAAAACCACGTCAGTGTTCCTAAGAAAGGAAAAAAAAATCAGCCCGGGAATGAAAAGTCCAAAGGGTTGAGGTTCCTCTGCCTCTCTCATCCCTGGATCCACCTGGATCCAACCACTGGATCACCAAATCCAACCACTGGATCACCAAATCCAACCACTGGATCACCCAATCCAACCATGAGATCACCAAATCCAACCAGTGGATCACCCAATCCAACTATGAGATCACCAAATCCAACCACTGGATCACCCAATCCAACCATCAGATCCACCTGGATCCAGGATCCCACGCTCAGCTCTCCCAGATTTCCTCCCAGCCGGGAACGTGCAATAATTCAACAGAAGGACAAAACTTTGGGAGAGGGATAATTTAAGGGATAATTTAACCCCCCAGAGGCACCAAAACATCTGGATTCTGGGTTTTTGGTCAGTTCATTTGTCCTTCCCCAATATCAGGGAAGCAACAGGAGAAAGAAAGACCAACTGCACCCAAACCCCACGGCCGAGCCACGGACTTGGCACGAGGCCAAACCCATCGTGTTCCTCCTAAACATCCCCCTCTGCCCCCGTGTGGTAGTTTGGCCTAGACCTTCCTTGGTGACCAGTTTGGAACCAAGGAAGTGCCCAGATTCACCCGGGATTCCCTACGATTTTGACGTAAGCTGGGGTAGAAGAAGGAGGGAGGAAAGGCCTTGGCTCTCTTTCCTTCCGGCGGCTTTGGAGGTGCAGGTTTCCCTGCTGTTGAGTCTGTCGGCTTGGGGAGTGAGGCCTGGTAAGGCCTTGTCGACCTTGGGAGGCGGAGGCTGCCGGCAGTCGCTCCAACGGGACTCTCCGTTGTCCCAAGGAGAGTAATAAGATATTCTTTGCTAATTCTTTTAGTTGATTGACCTTGGGCTACTGAGCGGGATAATATCTATATATTATTTTGGTTTTTGTTCTTCCCTTCCCCTTTCCCTTTCCCTGTGAAATTGTAAATATATTTCAACTATACATAACTATAGTATAAGTGTAAATCTATTTCTAGATATTGCTTTGCCTCTCTCTCATTTTCGGTTCTTTGGGGTTTTTTTCCCCTCTTCTCCCTTGCTTTGGGGTGGGGGGGGGGGGACTTCTTGTGGTAAGGTTTGGAGACTTGGCAGGGAGCCAGCTCCAAACCATATCACCCCGCCCCAAGGCCGAGCTTACTTTGATTGTGCTCAGATCCATGGGGTGCTTGATGATGTCGCAGTAGTCGTGCAGCCCCAGGGCCTCCACGTCGACGGGTTTGTAGAAGGGCCAGGCGTAGGCCGCGTGCTTCTTGGCGAACATCTCCTTGATGATGCCGCCGCAGTACTTGAGCTGCTCCGACACCTTGCTGCTCTTGTCGGCCGCGCCGTGCTGCTGCGAGTCGGGCACGTCCTTCTTTGGGGGCTTCACGGGGCGGCCGCTCTCCCGCCGCGGGCCCAGCTTGGTGGACTTGGGCTCGGCGGGCAGCGACGACGAGTCGTGGATCGGGTCGATGGTGGTGGGGGTCGTGGTGTCTGCTTTCCTCTTCACCCCTTTTTTTGTCTGGGAACGAGGGGAGGATCCAAGGTCACCACTGGAATGTTCCCTTTGGTTCCCACCCCCTGTTGTGTTTCCCGTGGCGTTGACGCGGAGCCGCCGTCGGCTCAACTCAACGCAACGCAACTCAACTCAACGCAACTCAACTCAACGCAACTCAACTCAACTCAACTCAATGCAACTCAACTCAACTCAATGCAACTCAACTCAACTCAATGCAACTCAACTCAACTCAACGCAACTCAACTCAACTCAACTCAAAGCTACGAGAAAGGCACTGGAGACCCTTCCAAAATGCTGCTTTGGGCTGGGGCTTTGGGGGCTGGGCGGGTGTGGGGATGACAGGTGGGCGGGGCTGGGGGACTGTACGATGTTAATTAGTGCTAACGAAGCAGCCACTCACCTTCACGGGCTGGGTGGGTGGGGCTGGGGGGCTGTACCACGTTAATTAGTGCTAACGAAGCAGCCACTCACCTTGATGGGCTGGGTGGGTGGGGCTGGGGGGCTGTACCATGTTAATTAGTGCTAACGAAGCAGCCACTCACC